TATCTAGGATTTCTGAATATACAAACATTTATATCCGAACAAAAGGTGCTGGCTCGAAAAAAGTTGACAGCTATGTCTGATCGGGAAGTAGATGCAGGCTGCAATCTCAGGCCAAAGAGTGCACGTTGAAGGGCTTCTAGTTGGCAAAAAATTTCCACTGTATCGCCAATGCCCTCAAAATGTCAAGCTGAATGATATAAATTCCAACTTTTCAAAGACGTTGCTTTGAATATAGTGACATACAAGTGCCAAACTTGATCACTTACGAAGTTGAAGAGCGAACGAAAGACTGATGGATAGGAGTCTCTTGACATATTTCTTCAGAATCATTTAAAATATCAGACGCTTCATCAGATGGTGTACAGAATATCATTGGAACCATGCGAGAAAGTAGAACTCGATGGGCAATGCATGTTGCTTAATTTGGCGGCAATCAGAGACATTACGTATTTAACTTCAATAGTACGACCGCTCGGGGACTTTTGAAGAGGAGGCAAACATCGAACAGTCAGTGAATACTGACTAGAGGCGTTGAGTTCCAAACGAAATGCCTGGCAGAGTTATGCCGACGTGTTTGAGTATCCGATAATAGGTGAGATATATACATCTATTTTCCAGGTTTTAAAATCAAGAAACAAATGAAATTTACTTTCGGGAATACTTCAGATACTGCGCTGGATAATACGATGCATAAATACGATCGACAGCGATAGCAACACAAGCAATACTGGATGCTCTCATCATTGCCGATGATGGTGCGGCAGCAAGTACGACTTCCTTCGGATTATAAATTAATTCTCCTAAAATATTAATTTTTATCTACTGCGTATGTTCACGTGTAAGCATTTCCTCATGTTAAAATACATTGCAGAGTTGTTATTTCACCGTTTCATTTTTCAACACAGATGCTATCTGTCTTCATTTTCCTCTGTTTTGAGCCTCTATCACAATTTATATAAATTACATTAACTTGATGGTTTCGAGAAACTGCCAATTGCATTATTGGCAAGAACGTGCGATGATGGAACAACCACGCTAGAAAACTGCATTTCTGCGTGAATGTTTTTTGGCCAGGCATTGGTTTTGGGTTGAAAATGAACTTTCGTGAATCCCTATGCTCATTTTGCAGACGCACCAAATTTCATTTGCAACAGCCTCCTCTCATGGTAATTCAACATGCCAGGAAGTTTAAAATTTACGATACCCCATATTGCAACCAATCACACTGGTCCATCTGCTGATTTTGTCTCGGATCATCAGTAAATGTGTTTCCAATATGCATGCGCATATCGAACAGTGAAGCAGTAGGCGTTGTTGTTTTAAACATTTACACTACTGAACGAAATCACCACAAAACGCATGAGTAACCAGCACCCCTGGTGCTTGTTGCTAATTGTTAAAGTCGGATTACTTTGGAATCACAAGCTCATTTACTATGCATTTTTGCTATGCAGCACTCATAGCGCTGCTACAGCGAGCAGAAACGCATATTGTCGAGAGG